AACTAAACTATGGGAGTTGCTTCTTATTTGCTTTTTAATTTATAATGACCATTTGAAATGGGAAATACTTAGAGAAGAAAAATGCAGTAACCTAGGTGTGATGGAGAGGAAGTAACCAAAGCTTAGTGCTAAGCTTCAGTAGAGTATCTCATTCTTCTGTTACAATCAAACAGTTTCTGCTGTAGTAAAACAGATACACTGCTAAAGCATTTTTTTTTTAACTCTTTGTGTTTAATTTGGAATTTCTGGGTGGGCAAATGGTTCATATGTTCAACAAGAGGTGCCTTGGAGGAAATGCTTGGCAATCACCTTCCAAAATATCAACCACTGAAAATCTTATGTAGCACAGTTCTACTCTGACACACATGGGACCCACATGAGTTGGAATGGACTCAATGGCAATTGGTTACTGGTGTTCGATATTATACCAAGTTTTTCAAAATAAAGCAAGAAAAGTGCTTATTGTATCAGTATATGTAGAAGCCATAAAAACCCTCATTTAGAAGACTGGAAGAAGAGGAAACCCCTGCTGCCCTCAGTACTGTTTTAATAATCTTAAAATCTTTGAAGTGTTACAATTGAAATAATTATAAATTGTTCATTTCTGATTTTAAAATACATGATGTAATTAAAAAAAAAAAGTTAAAAATTTGACAATTGAGATCTTAAAGCAAAGTTCTCCACACGTTGACTTGAGCTTAAATCTCTAGCTAGTTGCCTAAAATATCTGACCATGTTGCAAAACATGTTGAACTTCAGGATTTTAACAAATTGAAAGCTAATTTCCAAAATATAGAGAACAAAATTTGTAGGATAATTTCTTGTATGATCATAGTAATCTTTACTTCTGGTTATAATAGGTCAGTGTTTAACCATGTATTTTGACAATTTCATACACTGAAAACACAGCCTATATATTTTTTTAAAAAAAAAGAAGAAAGAAAAATAGGTAGAGACAAAAGTGTAACCCTACAAAAAGACAGCCTCTTTAATACCTAATACAGTGATAGGCTTATCTCATTGTTTCAGAAGCAATTTATTATATCTTCTAAAATTCATAGCCATAAATATATTTTCTTAACTATTTTCACAGTGTAATTTTATCAAAAGTCATCCAAATCAAACCGTATTTGCTCAACAAAAGTATAAAACATAAAGAATTACGTTGCTGTTAGGTGCCAGCAAGTCATCTCCGACTTGTAGAGATCTTATGCACAACAGAACAAAACACTGCCCGGTCCTGTGCCAGCCTCATGATCCTTGCTATACCTGAGCCCATCATTGCAGCCACTGTGTCCATCCATCTCATTGAGGGCCTTCTCCTTCTTCGTTGACCCTCCGTTTTACCAAGCATGGTATCCTTCTCCAGGGAATATTTCCTTCTGACAACATGACCAAAGTAGAGGAGACAAAGTCTGACCATTCCCACTTCCAAGGAGCATTCTGGCTACTTCTTCCAGGAGATCTGTTAGTCCTTTTGGCAGTTCATGGTACTCTTAGCATTCCTCTCCAACACAACAGCTCAAAAGCATCAACTCTTCTTTGGTCTTTCTTATTCATTGTCCTGCTTTCACATGCATAAGGGGCGATTGAAAATACCATGGCTTGGGTTAGGTGCACCTTAGACTTCAAGGAGACATCTTTGCTATTCATCATTTGAAAGAGGACTTTTGCAGCAGATTTGCCCAATGAAATACACCATCTGATGTCTTGACTAATCCTCCCACTGGTGTTGATTGTAGGATCAAGTAATATGAAGTCCTTGACAACTTCAATCTTTTCTCCATCCATCGTGACGATGTTTATTGGATCAGTTGCAAGGATTTTTGTTTCTTTATATTGAGGTGTAATCCATGCTGCAGAGTGCAGTCTTTAATCTTCATCGGTAAATGCCTCAAGTCATCCTCACTTTCAGCAAGCAAAGTTGTGTCATCTGTGTATTGCAAGTTGTTAATGAGTCTTCCTCCAATCCTGATAACATTACAGTGCCTTTTTTTTAAAGGATCCTATTTTCATCAAACCAAAGATGTAAATTTATGTGTTTTTCTCTATCAAATGATCAAATGACTATTAACAGTGTTGTCAAGACCCAGCATGAGACTAATTTTCATCTTTTCTGTGATCTTACAGAAATTTAAATAACACTATTCTTACAGATGTAAGTTTGTTTACTTTCACAGTTATCAGTTATATAAGCTTCTCTGGATTGGTAAGATAAACAGACCTGCTCCTTTTGATGTCCAGGAAGGTCTAAGCTAAAATGGAAGAAATATAAAACTCATTGTCATAAAATTCTATAATATGCAA